TATGACCAATCGATTAACCAAGGAAAATGATTCATGGTAACGACAAGATACACTTGGGCCAGAAAAACCCCTGCTCCAAATTGTTTAGCGTTCTAAGACAAGACGGCTGTGGTTGTCCTAAAAGGCTTTGCCATGAATCATGAGGGAAGAGTGTAAAGCGTTGCTGAGTGTGAAGGCGAAGTTTCAAGCTTTACAAGCTCAAATAATCATTTTCTTATTTTTAATATTATTTTAAATTTTAATCTTTTTAAAAATCATTTAATAATTAGAATAATATATATCAAACATCTAAAATTATAAAAAATATTATATTTAATTAATGATTCCTACAATTAGTCAATCACACAATTTTCAAATTTTTTGAAATGTAAGAACTAGACTATTTTTCATAATTTCAATTTTCAATTAGACAAATTTTACTTAATAGATGTATAGGAACTTCAAACATGATTTCGAAGTTCTCAACAAGATAATGAATCTCAAGATCATAATTGTTAGTTCTGGAGTATAAGTTTCCCCTTCAAACAATTCGAAAGAAATATCGTAATAGTACTATAGAAATTTAAATTCGAGCCCACCGATTTCACGATATTTCCTTAAAACGAATTTGCTGCCTTTCACGGTACTAAAGGTGTCCAGCAATCGTTTCCCAGGATAGAACGGATTTCCTCTCCTACGGAAGTAGCATAGCAATCTGCAGGAGTTCCAACGAACGCAACGAGGTGTTTATACTTCGAAAAACAGTATCAGAACGAGAGGGAGAGTGAGATACAAAGCAGAGAAAGTTTGCAATGAAAATTGTGTAATTTTTCTGGTAACAGAGCAGGCTATTTATAGATTTGTTCGTGGCCATTCGAACACCCTTCAGAATAGTCGTCACTGTTCAGACAGCCTCTAAAACTCCAACAGACATGTTAGTTCAATACTGCATCTGTTAAGTTAGTTAACGGTCGACAGTTTAACAGTCGACTGTTTGGTTGGTTAACAATCGACTGTTTAACAGACCATTCCAAAAAATTACCCTGAAAAGGCTAATGAAAAAATAAATTTTATTAAGTACCAAAAAGAATTTGATTGTATACAATTTGGTCCAAAAATTCAAATAAAATTTGTCCAAAAAATTAATATAGTGCAAGGACGTACGTGCACGTGCTCGTGTGGAGCCGAGCCGAGCCGACGGCACGGGCATGTGGGCTTAGGACCGAACCCGATAGGATATAGGTCTCCCCCCTTCTAAAGACTATTGGTACCCCTTGGGGTCCAAACCCAATTCCCAAACTTGCACCATATAAATTACACCAAAGTTTCATAACTTTCCTATGTGGAATAAGTGTTTAGGCAAATTAAAATTTTCACTAATTCATAGTTTCAAGTGGGTTACTTTGATATTAAATATTTCATTCAATTCTAAATGGTTTTCGATAAATAAATATTCCACGTTCATCACCTTGCGGGGTAAAGCGTGAATATGCTAGATCCCGTATTAATTAGATGTGGTTCCCATTGAAATTTGGGTCCAAAGTTGACCCATTTCATACCATTTTCTAACAATAATTATATAATGCAGAGAGCATCGTAACTTAAATCTTATTTAATTCTTTATTGGATATTGTTATCTTTAACTTTTGCATAGATAAAGTCTTTTAAAAACTTGAAACTAAAGTCAAATGAATTTTCTTTTTTTTTTTTAAATAAAAAATAATAAACTAACTCAAATAAAAGGTTTTTTTAAAACAAAAATAGTAAAAGATTTAATAAAGCGCGCCTAGGAAAAAGGGAAAAGAGGAAGAAAAAAATTCAGCCGTTCATGAATTAGAATAAACACCTAAGCACGAAGCGGGTCATTTTGCCTGAACTTCAAACCTAGGCATCGTCTAGACAAGTTTTTAGAATACTGGGCATAACTCGTTAGGCACAATTGCTAGAAAGATTATGGTTCAATAATTGTTTCAGCCTTTGGAAACAGACAAGAAGCTGAGAGGTTTTATTATTCCCCTTACGGGTCGTTCAAAAACTAAATGTGGAGGTTGCAGCCTGAGGACACCAACTTTGATCAATCAAAAATCTGAAATGCAATTGCTGAATGTCAATAAATAGATCCTTCAGTCTCACTTGGAATATCCATTAATAATCATATTCCAATGACCTGTTCTATCAATTTTTCCCTTTCATGTTTTTGTTCATTAGGTGGTTCACATTTTTGTATATGGGGCTACTTGGCCAATTTATAGTTTTATCATCTCAAATTTGCTTATATAAGTTATTTCTATGAAATTATATTATTCTACATATTTATTCCATATGTGAGTGCAACCAATTTTACATCTAGATAGGAATTCAGATTGTACCTTTAGATTGTGTTAATAACTAAAAATAACGTGAAAATTTCAGATCCAGTTAAGATGAATTTAACAGAGCAATTAATGAATTATTGTAAAAGAAAAAAAGTAATTTTAGATCCATTGTTTCTATTTGTGAGCCTTTAACCAAGAGTTTGCAGCTCTGTCACAAGAAGCTATAGTGTTGATCTAGATATGTGAGCCACCTTTTTGATCGAAAGTTTTGATTGATTGTTGAGTTCGATAGGTTAGGTTATTATTGTAAAGTTGTAGTTGTTGCCCAAGTCATAATTGTCCGTAACCTATGCAATCATTACTCTCCTTTGATTGGTAGGTGAGAAGGTGCTGATATTAAAGATGACACTTGTCTTTTCAAGAGTAGTCATTTTGGAGGCAGTGACATCACTAGAAGATATCTTTTTAGGGGAGTAATGATGATGTTTACAAACGACGGTGACACGTGATTGAGCTCATTGGATTAGCTCTTGGTTCGACCTTGTACTGTAATTTGGAGTTATACCATTAAACTCTTTCTAATGTTATTTGAAGTGGGTTCGAGGTTATTTATGAGTTCCAACACCAAAAATTGTCCCTCAGTGCTGGGCTTCTTTTGGAAAAGATCAGACATATACGTTTCTTTATATCAGCTCGTCGAAGTAAGATTTTTGCTTGCAAAGATGGAATACAGAGTATGCATTTTGTAATCCTCTTTTCTCTCGTTGATATAGTGAAAGTTCTAATGTGGGTCAATGGATGTAGGCACAATTCTCGACCACTTTTAAATCCTTGTATCTTATATTTGCACTTATTTTTATATCATTTATTCTCCTCGGTGTAATTTTTAGTCCGCCTTATTGATCTGACATAATCATTAGCGTCTTAATTCATAACAAAAATAAAATAAAATACGAAATACTGAAGAGCCCTAATAATTTTTATGTAATATCTTAACAAACATATTGAAACATTTTATAAAACATTGTTTGCAACTAAAATATGCAGACTCATCTAAGCATTCAAACTATTTTAACAAGCCGAAACACAAATCGCCATAAAATATACATATATACATCAAATAGACATTAATCGCATGTTAAGTACGTGTTACTCGATATGACCAAACAGTAAATTAAAAGAAAACTAAAATTTTATTTATAATAGTGAATATTAAATATGCACTAACTGATAGTATCTTTTAGCAAGAGGTCCATGAAATACATTTTAAAAAAAAAAATTTAAAATAAAAAGCTTAGCAATGTCACCCACAATATTCAACCACTATATAGTACATATGTAGACGTGGGCCAGTTGCTCCACCCTGTGGACCCTCAACCTTTCTTATCCACTTCAAATTCTAGTTCAAGTTTGGAAATAACTATTGACTGAGGTTTTTTTATTTTATTTTCTTTTATTTTTTAGTTCCCATCCTTTTATAATAGTTTTTATTATTGAAGGCAAAAAAGGTGAAGCGACTCTAAAGAAGCAGGCATGAAAATTTTGGGATGCTTTCGGACGAGATTAATAAACTACGACTACTTATCTTTTTTCTTAGAATTATCTTGTCCCAATCATCGGAAAAGTTGGAATGTTTAGGGAAGATTAATAACTGGAGATTTGGGTTTTTTGTATTACTATTTAAACCGAGCATCCTTTGAACTTCTACACATTTTTATTATGGAAAGTAAGGTGGAGACGAATCTTGATATAACATTAATGTTAAAATAAGTAACTTATTTATTTTTAATTTTATTAATAGAAAACTTATATATTCTAAAGCTTATATCTGTTATAAACAAACATATTAAGTTTAGCCAAACATGTTCGATGATCCTAAAGATAAAAATGAATTCTAACTGAGAACATATAGAAGAGATATTGAAATATTCAAACTGTATTATTGGTGATCTTATCAAAGGGCATTAACTGTTAGAATAAGGCAACTATGAGCAAAGGGTCCCACCGCGGATTTTGAGCAGCCTCATATATGAGAAAATCTCTTTTCTCTTTCCATTTTCACTTAATTAATGGAAATCTTATCAATGAAGCATGGATGTATGGTCAAAGCCTTAAAGGAGAGAAGAAGCAGGCGCTCGAGCTGTTAGATGATATATTTATTCTCATCAAAAAGTTCCATCACGTGCAAATTGGATTTATTTTTGAATTAAATGCACGACACACGAATACACTTTCATAAATGAGTGACGAGATTTGCTAAACATTTCATCTCAAAGGTTAAGTTGTTAAAAGAGAATCACACATATTCAATTAAATAGCATCTTCAACCAAACTTTAATGGCTCAATTATCAGGTTTCTAGAGTTTGTGCCACAACTCATAGAAGAACAATGAGTCATTTTCAAGAAAAATATAAAACCTTTATAAATGGCAATTTACAATAGATACGGCAAAATTTTCAAATCGTTACACACAGAAAGAATTAAACTTTCCAGAAAGAATTATAGCAAAAGACAGGAAGTGACCAGTTGGGTTGTTTCCTCTTCTGGTAGTTCGAAGATTAAGTGCTGAGATGTGCAGCCTTAATTTGAACACCGACTTTGACCAATCAAAATGTCTGTAATACCCTTGTTGGATCCCTATAAATGGATCCTCCAATCTCAATTGGAAATGCAATCCATATTGTTGGAATCCAATTCACATCCCAATGGCGGCTTCTCTCAATTCCTTCCTTTTTTTCGTTGCCATTCTTGTATACACTTCTTATGCTCAAAATGGCCTAAACCTTCCTATTCGGAAGGATGCCACTACCTTGCAATACTACACGACACTAGAAATGGGCAGCACCCGAGCTACTGTGAATGCTGTTATCGATCTTGGAGCCCAGTTCTTCTGGTTCGATTGCGATAATTATACCTCATCCACCTATGTTCCGATCCCTTGTGGCTCTCAGAAATGTGAACTAGCTAAGGGGAGTGGATGCATCGGGTGCAATATGCCGCCACGACCCGGGTGCACCAATGATACCTGTGGTGCCTCGGCTTACAACCCGTTTCAAGATGTTCTTGTCTCTCAAGGGTTTGAAGAGGACACGCTATACTCAAAAGATCATGTCGAGGTGCCTCAATTCCCTTACGCTTGCATGAACACACGTTTCTCAGAGGGACTAGCCAGTGGCACGAGCGGGATTCTAGGCCTTGCTAGGACCGAAATTTCTTTGCACAAGCAGGTTGCAAATAAGTTCAATTTACCCGACAAGTTCTCTCTATGCCTTCCATCTTCAGGACTCGGAAAATTGTACGTTGGTGGAGGATCATCAAGCAAATCAGACGTATCGAAATCACTTATCACAACACCCCTCATCATAAACCCTGTAAGTACAGCCCCTATTTACACCGTTGGTGATCCATCCGATGAATATTTCATTAATGTACAGTCCATCAGAATTCATGGAGAACCTTTGTCAGTAAAAAGTTCCTACTTTACCATTGACAAAGACGGAGTTGGAGGCACCAAAATTAGTACATAAACAATTTCACCGCACTTCATTCTTCCATCTACAAACCTTTCACCAGGGCTTTTGTCAAGGCTGCGTCTGACATGAAGATCAAAAGTGTCGACGCAGTGGCGCCGTTTAGAGCATGTTTCAGTTCCTCCACCATTTCCGCCACTGCCACCGGCCCTTCTGTCCCAATAATTGAACTAGTTTTGCGAGGAAATGATGTTTCTTGGAAGATATATGGTGCCAATTCAATGTTTGCAGTGAATAAGAATGTGATTTGCCTTGCATTTGTGGATGGAGGATCAAGTCCAAGAACTTCAACCATCGTCGGCGCATACCAATTGGAGGATAATCTGCTCGAGTTTGATCTTGTCTCATCGCAACTTCGCTTTGGCTCTTCTCTTTTGGTCCAGAACAAGACATGTTCCCGCCTTTAAGATGTTCGATTTTCATCAAGTTTTTCCAAATGCTTTTGTATTTCTCAGATTGATGATCAATAATATGTATCTATCAAACAAATTCTGTTGTTTGACTATATGCATATGTGGACAACAATAAACTTCACTGATATTTGAGTTATAAAAACAAAGTGCAAATACAAAATTATAAACTTCAGAGAAATTTTACCTTGTTGAGATCATTGCAACATAGTGGTTGAATTACAATTAGTAAATTTGTCCTGACTATATTCTGAAGTTAAAATCACCTTGAATTCAAAGTTGGGTGACAAAATGAATCAATCGACCCGTGATCACGAGCCACGACTAAAACAGGCGAAAATTCCACGAGGCGAGTTTGGGACAAGAAACCTTGTCTACACTCAAGTTCGACGTGGTGATGGGTATCAATCTCCCCCACCCTGTCCCGTATTATCTAAAATTAAGTCAAAATCAACAGTTAATTTTAATCATATATTTTATGGGATCTACAATTTTTCAATCCACACATTTCATCAACTTTTATTAATATTTTTTAAAAATTGATTTTAATCCCTACCAAACAATGACAAAAAAAAAAATGTCATTTAAACCGGGGAGTTCGACCCCAAACCATGGCCCATGGGTACATGGATATGATTGGGATATCATTATGTACTAATAATAGTGAAAGGATCTAAGGAAGTGGATATGCAACCTAGAATTAGATGGTAGCAAGTGGCAAGATCATGAATGGATGATAATGCATAAGACAACAACAATTAATTTAAACAAGATCTTTCTTTTAGATCGATTTAACGTAGGAAATTCTATTATTTCTTTTCGACTATGCTTTTTTTTCATAATTATCCTGCTTATCTAAATAAATATCTTATCCCTAGTAGCGTGTATATACTAACTTTCATTTCTTAATCTTAGTCAGCAAACATGAAGAAAATCCTAAGAAAGTGTACATATGCAGGTTCAATTATTATTTAAAAAAAAAAAAAGAAAAGAAAAGAAAGGAAGACCCCATTAGGACATGTTTGGGAGTTTCGGCATACTAATTATGAACATTTTTAAAGTACCGATTTTTAGTGTTTATGACCGAATCGATTTTGAGGGCTTTTAGTAGTGTCCAACCTATGTTTGGGAGTTTATTATCCATCAATCCTAAAAATAAATTGTAAAAGAATAAAACTACATTTATGTCCATTAGTAAATTTTTCAATTTATAGTTTCTTACATGATTTTTTCCACTCATAAGTGATATTTTACTTATAAATAATTTTTTTACATATAAGTTAATATTTAACTTAATAAATCAAATAAGTTAAATATTCATTTAATTTTTAAGTTAATTTTTTTTTACTTATAAGTAAATTTTACATTTTAAAATAATTTTACATTAATATTTTTATTTATAATTATCTTTTTCATATTTTACAAGTGAATTTTTGTTTTATTGGTAGTATAAACAATTTTTTTATATATATAAAAGTGAATTTTTACTTATAAGTAGTTTTTATTTATAATGTAATTTTTCTTATCTTATTTACTTATAAGTATTTTTTAAATATAATTTAATTTTTTTACTTATAAATATTTTTATTTATTATATTTTTAATTACAAGTCAATTTTGAAGAAAATATGTTGGTTGGAAATAATTATTTTATAAAGGGTAAAACAGCCATCTAAGGGTCTTTGGATGCCTTTGTTATACATCCACTCTAAAAAGAAATAGAACAAAATTTGATCCACGAGCCAAGCCTTGTATATTTCTTGGATACCCCCATGGCATGAAGGCCTATAAATTGTATGATCTTCAATCCTATTCCATCATTGCTTCAAGAGATGTCATATTTCATGAAAACATATTTCCATTTCGTAATTCAGATTTCCTAAAATCTTTATCAAATTCCAGTATTTCCCTTGAAGCTGATCAGTCTCTATTTTATCCACATTCTTATCCTTCAGATGACATCCCATCCTTCCCATATGCTCATTTCCCAGTATCTCACTCTAATCATCACTCCCCAATATCAGATGTTTCTCCTCCTGGTTTTTCTTCTAGTACTCAAGAATCCAGTTTTGATCAT